GTGAGCCAAGTTACCCAGCGTCATGTTCTTTCTTCCCCTCATCCCTCATCTGGGCTGTTAAGAAATCCTACTGGCATCATCTGTAGAATATCCAGAATTCCAGCATCTCTTGCCACCTCCGTGCTGAACCCTGGCTGAGTTCCCTTCAGCTCTCTACTGGCCACTGCAGTAACCTCACAGCACTCTTCCTGCATTCACTCTTACCTCCCTACTGTCTGCTTGCCACACAGCAGCCAGAGATGCTTCTAAACTGTGAGTCAGTTCCTTTTATTCCCTTAAGCAGAATCCTTCAGTAATTCCCATTTCCTTCAGAGTACAATGCCAAGGTCACTCATGGCTGCATGACCCCATACTATCTGCCCTGAAGCTCAGCTCCTTCCCAGTGCCTTCCTTACCTCACCTTCCCCTCTCTCCTCTCCACTCCAACTCACGCCTCTTTCTGTTTTGTGAAGACACGAGACACATTCATGCCTTAGGGTCTTTGCAATGTCCGTTCTGTCTGCCTAGAATGATCTTTCCCAGGATGCCCACATGTTTCTGTTCCTCTTCCTTGCTTCCTAACAATCCTGCTCTAATATCATTTTCTCAATAACGCCCGCCCTGATTACCTTATTTAAAAATGCAGTCTCTACTCATTGTTCTTCTTATCTCATTCTGGGCAGGGTTTATTTCCCACCCCCCACCCCAATCATTTGTTGCCTTATAATATTAAGAATAGTTTATCTATTTTTTATGTTTTTTGTTTATTTCTTGTTTCTCCTTTCACTCTGCCAGCCCACCATTTGCTCCACACGGGCAGGAATTTTTATCTTCTAATAGTCCAAGAAGCTGCCATGGAATAGGTACCGAATAAATGAATATTAAAGATAGCCACATTTTCTGAATGTTTTAGAAAAAAATGCTAAAGGTCTTTTTCTGCTAAGAATTTCTTCTGTATTTAAACTGTGGTCTACTAGAGGGTAGAAATTATATCTTTCATTTTCTCATTCAGAGATGAGAGGAAGTTAGGCCAGATTGTCTTGTTCAGTTATACGATTAAAGATGGCATTTATTTGATGACACTTAAGGATAGAAACAAATTTTAAACTGTATACATAAATGTAAATGCAAAATGTTACCTGTGGACCAGTGTATCAACTGTTTGGGATAGGTCAATATTGAGGCTAAGTACAGAAATGAAAAATATTAGAAACTTGTAGAACAGTTTAGTAGTCATTTTATATCTGATGAATCTAATTAAATACTGAATCTTGACTTTTGTATATTTTTTCATTTCATTTCTTCCAATTTTTTAAAAATTGTATTTTTACAAAAATATTAGTTCATTATGGGGATTACAAGTTTTTTTTCAAGAAGCAAATCCTTTACAATCCATAGTTTAAGTAGCACTAATCAAATACACATCAGTTAACTTATAAAGTTAGAGTAAAGCCTGAAAAATCATAAGGCCTCTGGAATTTTGTGAATCTCCCAGGTTTTCAGATGGTCTTCACCAGTAGTGGTTTTCAACTTCTTTTTTATTTCTCCAAGCTGTAGAAACCTCATTTCAAATACGCATTGTCATAAAACACAGATGTAAATGGCAGACAAAAGCAGACGTGCCCTAGATGAGTACGAGCTTGGAGGCTCAGACCCATCTGCTTGAATTCCCCTCCACACTGTAGGTCACGAAGAGACCTCACAGAGCCCTAGAAAGAGAAGCCTAAAAACCATTGCTATCCTGTGTTTGGACTGAAGTCTTTGCTTTACCTTTGTTTCTTATAGATACTATACTTATGGGCAGCACCTGTGGCTCAAAGGAGTAGGGCGCCGGCCCCATATACCCGAGGTGGCAGGTTCAAACCCAGCCACAGCCAAAACCTGCAAAAATAATAATAATAACAATAATAATATACTTACTGTATTCTAATTCAAAATTTTAAACATTTCTCCATGTAATGACACAGAGGTTTTTTTTGTTTGTTTGTTTTGAGACAGAGTCTCACTCTGTCACCCTAGGTATAGCAACCTCAAACTCCTAGGCTCAAGCAGTCCTCCTGCCTCAGCATCCCAAGTAGCTGGGACTACAGATGCCTTCCACAATACCCATCTAGTTTTCTTAGTTTTTGTTGATATGGTTCTCACTCTTGCTCAGGCTGGTCTTGAACCCCTGAGCTTAAGCAGTCCACTGCTTGTGCCTCCTAAAGTGTTAGGATTACAGGTGTGAGCCACCTGTAATACTTCTTGTATCCCTGGATGTAATATGTACAATTCTGATATGTTCTAATTTGAAATTTAGGTATTTCTCTTATCATAGCCCAACTATGATAGGACTAACCTACAAAGGGACTAACCTACAAAGTCGTATTTATTGGCTCATTGCAATGAGGAGCAAGGAGGAGACCATACACCAGAGGAAGCTTCTATCTCACCATAGGAGATATATCTAGTATAACATTTTGGAGAATGGTGGAATTTACTGGAGTAGTATTTTGATAGGCTCAAAGCAGGACTGGATATAGAAGTTTGGACTGTGCAGTGGGCCTACATCCCCGTTACCTTGGAAATTAGAAAGTTAAGATAGACTTGGGTTGTGTCTAAAAATGTCCTAATCTAGGCCAGGTTCAGAGGCTCATGTCTGTAATCCTAGCACTCTGGGAGGCCAAGGTAAGTTGGATTCCCTGCGCTCAGGAGTTTGAGATCAGCCTGAGCAAGAGTGAGTCCCCGTCTCTACTAAATAGAAGAAACTACTAGCCAGGCGTTGCGGCAGGCACCTGTACAAATGCTGAGACAAGATGATTGCTTGAGCCCAAGAGTTTGAGATTGCGGTAATCTATGACACCGTGTCACTCAACCCCATGAGAAGACTCTAAAAATTAATTAATTAGTAAAAATATCCTAATCTGAAATTCTGCACCTGGGTTGGAAATCTAGGCTCCCTTTCTGTGAAATATTTCCTTGTTCTTGTGATTCAAACAGCAAACTTTCTGATCATTTGTAATTATATAGGACAAGGTTTCTCAGTGAGGTAAAAGAGCAGGTCACTTTAAAAAGGGAGTTGTCATGATACTTTATAGCTGTGTTGTGCCCTTGGGAGAAACATGGTTTCCCATCAGCTTTGTAGGTGGCTGTATGTGTGTTTGCTCTCCCACTTGCCTTAGGAATAGCAGTGCTAATTTTTATACTATCACTCTCATTGACCACTGTTTTCCATACACTAGATTCCTCATATCTATGGACCTAATATGCTCAATTTTGATCACATGGTCCATAGTATGTACTAATAAGCGTTTTTGACAAAGTACAATTATTAATACAGGAGTACCAGCATTAACATCTGACTGACATCTTAATATAGCTAAGAACTTGTGAACCAAAAAAAAAAAAAACTTAATATAAAATTATTTGGAAAAGAAAGATACAACTAGAACTGGTCTCAGAGGCTGACCATGGTGGATCACACCTGTAATCCTGGCACTCTGGGAGGCTGAGGCAGGAAGATTACTTGAGTTCAAGAGTTTGGGACTAGCCTGAGCAAGAGCCAGTCCCTGCCTTTACTAAAAATAGAAAAATTAGCCAGGTATTGTGGCAGTCACCTATATCCTAGCTAGTAGAGAGGCTGAGAGCAGGATTGCTTGAGCCTAGGAGTTTGAGGCTGTTGTGAGCTAGGCTGAGGTCAGGGCATTGGTGCCTGGGTAGCAGAGACTCAGCTCCACCCCTTCCCCAAAAAGAGAACTGATATCAAAAATGTAGGGAACAGAAACAGGTGTAAGAAAGCAAAGGTTTGAAGCCTTCATAGAGATTAGATCTTTTGGCCTGTTAATTTCATACAGAGAGATCTTGTCTGAAAATGAAAAAAGAAAAGAAAAGAAAAAGATTCATAGACAGAGAGTCAGCATTCTAGGTAATTATGAAACAGCAAAAACAACATAAACATTAAGAATGTTGTTATATATCTAAAATGAATATTTAGTGCCATGGAAGGTACTCATGAAATAAGTAAAAAAATCAGGACATTAAAACACACAGTATGAGATCAACTTACTTTTTAAATTATATGATAGCAAGTATAGAAAAAAATCTGTAAAGAAATGTACTAAAACATTAACAATAATTATTTCAGAGTAACTGGATTATGGGAGATTTTGTTTCCTTATCCTTTCTTTCCAATAATAAGCTTATATTTCTTAAAATACTACAGTAAGCATTAATTACAAAAATACAATGGAGTTCTAAAATAAGCCTGCATTCTGCATTACTCAGAAAAAGAAATTAATTACTGTTAGAAAAAAGATGTGGTTCTTTAGCCAGAAAATAAAAATTTTATGAGGATAATTACATGTCATTGTTCCTCATGGGGCCGTCAGAATGCGTTTTACCCCACTGTTCCTGGTAGAATGAAAAACATAATTTTTAATTTTTGATAGGTGATTTTTATGCTAATGAAGGCTGAATGAATCTGCATCTTTTTTTTTTTTCAGTTTTTGGCCGGGGCCAGGTTTTAAACCCTCCACCTCTGGTATATGGGGCCGGCTCCTTACTCCTTTGAGCCACAGGCGTCACCCTCTGCATCTTTTTTTAATGGTGTAATTTTTAGCATTTAAGCCTTTTTTTCATCATTAGTCACTTTTGGTGGTAGAAATAACAAACATACTAGGCCAGAGTGCAGTAGAAACATTGCTTGTGTTACTCAGAAAAATGGGTTCAACCTTCAGACCCTGTCACCGTTGATATTATTTATAAATTTATATGTATGTTTTTTCCTCTAGGTGTCCAGCAAGTAAGGCATGTTGAAGGACTTTGTGCTTGTAAAGAGAAGTAATGTGGGAAACTGCTACAATTAGTTAAGATCAATAGAGATTTATAGACAGAGTTAGCTTTGAATTTAGCTGTTCTTTCTGCCATTTATAGAAACATTATCTTTATAAATAGGAAGAGAGTATATACATCTTTCCCTGAAGATTTAGTGTGACTCCAGAGTGATATTGTAAGCCTTACACAGACCTGTCTTTTGTCTTTAGTTAGTCCAGGACCATGTCTGGAGAACTGCCACCAAACATTAACATTAAGGAACCTCGATGGGACCAAAGCACGTTTGTTGGACGAGCCAATCATTTCTTCACTGTAACTGACCCTAGGAATATCCTGTTAACAAACGAACAACTAGAGAATGCAAGAAAAATAGTACACGATTACAGGTAACGTTGATGGTTATGGGTTTTGACTTACTGTGTAAATAAAGCATCATGTTAGTCTATTGTTTTTAAGCCTCTACTTAGTGATTTTATATCTTATTTTTTTTATAATACAATCCTTTTGAAAAAAAAAGAGAGAGAAGAAGAAGAAAAGACCTGTTTGTATTCCCTGTTGCTGAAATTGCTGACCCTTAACACAGTTATCCCAGGGCTCATAGTAGCATGAAACTGAAACAGTCATCCCTACTACTCATAGGTCCCAATCTGTAAGGTCCCCTTTTCCCAGCGCCCTGCTTTCTATTCTCCAATACAGCAACCCCATGCATTTTTCTGTCTCTGAACAGAAACATCATGCAAAAATATGCTGCCTAGAATAAGAGCTAGGTTGGTTGCTTCTGAGATACAGCCTCAGTGAACGAAACCCTGTAGGCAGGAGCTGAGGTGAGAAGAGTGCCAATGGCGGTACCTGTGGGGGTTGTAGATTTGGGGTGCGCTCCATCAGTTCTGAGAGCCCTGCAGCGGGGAAGAGAAGATGCTGCCTGTGTACACAGAGATGCAGCAATTGGCAACTTTTTCCGTAAAAGACCACGTAAGAAATATTTCAGGCTTTGTGGACCACTAAGGGTTTCTGTTTTCTTAGGGTTTCTTAGTTTCTTGTTTATTTATTTATTTTTTACAGTACTTTAAAAAGTTTAAAAACTGCTCTTACCTATGGGGTCATATAGGCTTCAGACAATAGTTTGTTGACTCCTGTACTGGGATTGGATTGTTAGAAGCTACCTACTTAACTGCTCAAGAGTAAGACATCTGAGATAGGTGTCCATCGGTCATCTGGGTAGTGAGAGAGGGAACCAGTGACAATCTATAAACACTGAATCTGGACAGATTCTAGCGAACGACAATATGCATAAAGAAGGCACACAGACAGCAGGACATCAAGTGGCCTTAGGAGAAAGTGCTGAGGGACAGGCCATAGAGGAGGACCCCACAGGAGCAGATTTTAGGAATTTAGCAAAATAAATGTTCTTTGTGAGTCTGGAGAAGCTGTAAAAAGAGGAGCGGTTGAAGTGAAAAGACCATTCTGGCTAAAAAAAGATGGCATAAGGAAGATTGCAAGAACCTACAAATGTAATTGGAAAATTGAAATCTTCCTAAAGTCAGTGGCAGAGAATGAACATCCGAAATGACGCCATGACAAGGTTGAACTGGACGTGTAAAGAATTAACTGAGACAGGGGGCAGCTCCTGTGGCTCAGTGAGTAGGGTGCTGGCCCCATATACCGAAGGTGGCGGGTTCAAACCTGGCCCTGGCCAAACCGTAACAACAACAACAAAAAATAGCCGGGTGTTGTGGTGGGCGCCTGTTGTCCCAGCTACTTAGGAGGCTGAGGCAAGAGAATCACCTAAGCCCAAGAGCTGGAGGTTGCTGTGAGCAGTGTGATGCTGCCATAGCCCTCTACCAAGGGCGACAAAGTGAGACTCTGTCTAAAAAAAAAAAAAAGAATTAACTGAGATGGAAGGAGATCAGAGGTCAGCAGGCTTTTTCTATAAAGGATCAGATTTATATATTTTAGGCTTCACAGGCCATACAGTCTCTGTCGCATACTCTTTTTGTTGGTTGGTTGGTTGGTTTGTACAACCCTCTCAAAATGTAAATGCCATTTTGAGCTTACAGGCCATACAGAAACAGGCCCGGCTATGGGCTATAATTTGTCCATCCTTGCTGGAGATAAAAAGGAGAAAGATGTAAGAAAGATTATGTAAGGGGAATAGAGATCGTGACAATGTAATTAATTGGTGCTCATAAAGGAGAAACTCGAAAAAATGCAGGGAAGCGATATTAAATATATAATACGGGGTGGCCATAAAGTTCATGTGCAATTTGAAATAGTGTGATTGCACACAACCTTTATGGCTCCCTTAACAGAAAGGGGTTTTCCTCAGGGGAAGAATAACATGTCTCAAACTGAAGAGCCCCCAAAGCAACGAGACTCACCTATGGCAATTTTCTTTTTCATATTTTTTTCTACAAACTTTTAAAAATCCAGAAGCATCTGTGAACAGGGGAGAAAAAGCTACTAGGAAATAGCAAATATCAGAACGGTCTCAACCTTTTCATCTGTACGCTGAATGCCAGAAGACAGTGACGCAGTGTGTGCAGCGCTTTCGGGAGAAAGAGTTGTAATCCAAAGAGTCTAAAGCAGATGGTCTTTATTTGCAAAGTCCACAAAACAAACATACAAGAGCATCAAAAACAAGCTCGCCCTCTCTCTTTTTTTTTTTTTTTTTTTTTTGCACTGTTTTGCAAAGTGTCTTTACTATAAGATGCAGTTAGACCTTTCTTTCATCATGGGGGGGCAGGGTGATGGAAAGGCAGGAAGAGAAAGACAAACTTCATAAAACCTTTTTGAGTGGTTAAGAGATGAAACAAACGTAAGCTCAGAAATAAGAAAACTGTAATGGATGGTGAGTCCTCAGAAAATTAAACATGCGAGTTATCGTGCAATCCAACACTTCTACTCCTGGCTATTATAAAAGAAAAGAAAACAGAGATCCGAACAGATATGAGTGCACCCGTATATGTAGCAGTGTTAACTACAGTAGCCATAAGGTAGAAGCAACCCAAGTATCCATCAGTGGGTAAGTGAACAAACAAAATGTGGTGTTACTCACAGTGGAATATTATTCAGCCTTAAAAAGGAAGGAAATTCTGACATCCGCTACAACATGGACGAACCTTGAGGACATTTTGCTGAGTGAAATCAGCTCATCAGAAAAGAACAAATATTGTGTGACTCCATTAGTGTGAAGTACCTGGAGTAGTGACCTACACAGAGACAAAAGCAAAATGGTGGTTGCCGGGGCTCCTCATCCCCATGAGAAAGGATGAGGAACTAGGGAATTACGGGTACCAAATATGAGTTGGGGAAGATGAAAGTGTTCTAGACATGGGCAATGGTAATGATTGTGCCATAATGTATATGTACTTAATGTCACAGAACTGTATAATAAAAATGATTACATTGGTGAATTTTGTGTTAGTATATTTTACTACAATAAAAAGAAGTAATAATAAGTCAGAATATAGACTGGAGATGAATGTAAAAACCTATTAAAATATGGATAATTGTGTATCTCTAGTTAAGAAAGTGTTTTGTGAAAAATAGTGATATCTATCTCAATCTAAAACCCTAAGTTGTAGTGTCAAAAAAGAAGAACGAGGAAAATTTAAAACTATACCCCCAAATCTGGCCTTAGCTAGAAACAAAACTCAAAATTGTATATGATTTTACTCTTTACTATAGCAGAGAAATGCATTATAGGATCTTAATTTTTTTGAGAATTTTAAAGGTAACTACTAAATCAAATTAAATATTAGAAGATATTTTCTAAAACCCAGAAGTATAAAATTTTTTTTTAAAACTGTAATCAATGTAACTAAAATTAAAATCAGAGAACTGATGTAGAACATTTCAAAGTACCATAAAACTAGATGAAGAAGGTGAATAGCTTTGTTACAACAATATATTTAGATGACTTATTAGCTCCTGTTAAAACCAAAGACTTGGGGGAAGCTTGTACCACAGATTGGTAATTGGATACAGTAGTACAGCCAGACAGGGGTAATAAGTTCTAATGTTCTATTTCACCATAGGGTGGCCATAATGAAACAATTTATTGTATATTTTTAAATCTCTAGAAGAGCAAATTTTAAAATGTTCCTAACACAAAGAAATAATAAATATTAGAGTTTGATATATATGTTAAGTTACCCTAGTTTAATCATTACACATTGTATACATGTATCAAAATATTATACTGTACCCTACAAATATATACAATTATGTATCAATTAAAGATAATAAAAGCAAAAAAAAGTCCCACAAAGCTCCTGGGTTAACATGTTTCATGTTGAAGTCAGAATATGTATAAAGAGAAAATTGTGGACCTTAGTAAGATACCTGATGTACAAAAAATTAAAAATTGGGTCAAAAACACTTTTAAAGCTCCATGATGACATGGCATCCCAGTTGGAATACGTGCTGCTGACTAGTTACCAGACTCATGACCCGTACCTGTAGAATTACAGTACATTCTTCCAAGAATCCCTAAATGTCTCCCTTTCTTCTCTCTTCACCCTTTTAAAGCATATAAACCCTTACAGTCTGGGTGATAAGTTGTCTATACCTGCTCCAAATGAGGAGGGGTAGGAGTATTTGTTGTGGTTCTGTGCTAATATGTATTTTTTATATATTAACTAGTAAACCAATTGGTAGACTAATGGGTAAGAAATACCGTAGAGTTTTCTACCTTGCCATGAAGAGATAAATCACCCATGAACTGTTGAGGGTGACTAGCTGAACTGAAAGGGTTACTTTGGGGGGGGGGGTCAAAGAGGTATCACGTGATAGTCTATCGCCAGGGAGTGCAGATCCCAGTATGTAGTTATACCAACTTAATATGAACCCAGAGGAAGTAAGAAAAATGGCTAACAGTAAAAACCAGAATAAAGGTAACTGCAAATAAAAAGAAAACAGGAGTTGCTGTATAAAAAGCAGACAAGGGCGGTGCCTATGGCTCAAAGGAGTAGGGCTCTGGCCCCATATACTGGAGTTGGCGGGTTCAAACCTGGTCCCAGCCAAAAACTGCAATTAAAGAAAAAGCAGACAAAATACAGTTCTAGGCAAATAGATTTAAAAAAAAAAAAATCAGTATTAATAAAGGTATACCAAGCTGGCCACAAATAGATTCATGAACCTAGACCATCTAATCACATCAGAATTTTTATGTTCTTTTAATTGTTTGTTCAAAAAGAAAAACCAAAAATAAAGTAAAAAGTGAGAAAATTAGTATAAAACTTTAAGAAATTGTACCTAGGCTCGGCTCCTGTGGCTCAAGTGGCTAAGGCACCAGCCACATACACCTAAGGTGGCAGGTTCAAATCCAGCCTGGGCCTGCCAAACAACAATGATGGCTGCAACCAAAATAAAAAAAATAGCCAGG